GCAGAGCTGGCCGAGGCGGGGGACGCAGCTGGTTGGTAGCCAGCGCAGCGACTTGTGCTGTTTGTTGTTCACGCAGGGAGGCATCAGGGCAGAAGGGGCATGCTTCTGTGTGGGGCAAAGCAGAGGGTTGGCTTGCTCAAAGCTGCTGGGGCTGAACAAAACAAACATGGATATCTAGAGGCTGCCGGGTGGCTGAGGGGAAAGGCTGGTTCTGTTCCTAGTTCTGCTGCTGACCTGCCATATGACCCTTGGGTACATCACGTCATCTCCCTCACCCTGTACCCCTTCCACCACACACTCAAACCAGTTTATAAGCACTCCCTCTATTTCTGTCTCTCTTTCCTTCTAGGTATCTGGGCTCACCTGGCACCACAGGGCCCTGACCTTGGTGCGGGTGCTAGATGCTACTAACCCAGCTGGGCTGTGGAAGGGGGCATGCAACTGTGAAGATCTAGTAGGAGGTGGGCAGCCCACAGGCCCCCTTTTTGCCCCCAACCCCTTGGTATCTCTTTGCATGCCTCATTCATGAAGCAGAGCCTTATCTGGCTTTGAAGTTGCCTTCTCCCGAGAGCTGCCTCTTTGTTCATCTCCCTCTGTGCTTGCACGGAGTTCCCAGGATCCGTGCTTGATGCTCTGTGCACAGGTCTGCTTGGCTCTGGGTTGAGGAACCCTTGGCCCCACAGCCCAAGGAGTCCTCAGGCACCCTAGCCATGAGTCACATCCTCAGCTCTCCTCGGAGGAGGAGGAGGAGGAGGAGGACAAACACAAGGCAGGGCTGCCTGGAGACATTAGGTAGCTTGTTTATGTCGCGTCAGCCATGCTGACGTCAAGCCGCCTTCAGCTGGCAAGGCCTCAAAGGCCTTGCAATGTGGAGGGGCCCGATCCAGCTTGCAGGTGTGGGGAGAGCTCTCACTGGCCTTGGCGGGAGCCGTGCTGGGCCAGCAGCGGGTCCATAACTCAAGTGAAATGATGTGAGTGGAAACTCTGGGGCCGGAGGGATGTTGGCTGGAGCATGGGGAGGGCTCTGTGTTCATTGCAATAAAAAATATGCCTTTAATAAACCACTGCTGGATTGCGCCCAGTACGTGAATTGCATGACAACCAGCTCACAATGAATATGCAGCCGCTCATCAGGAATATTCAGTGGCTCATTAGCATGCTGGCTTATAGCTGTGTTGCTGGCTAGCTAGTTTAATTTATACACGATGTCGCTCTGTCTTTTTTCACTGGATGCCGGAAATTCACTGGTTTCTCTTCAGAGCATCATGGCCTAGTGAATAGATCCCTAGCCTGGTTCATGGGAGACTTGAATTCAGTCCTCAGTTTTGCTACGGACCTCCTGGGTGACCCTGGACAAGTCACTCTCCTGCTCCATGCCTCAGTTTCTTCATCTGTACAGTGACGATGATAATGGTGACCACCTTAAAAATGACTTTGCTCCAAAGATCTCAGCAGGAGAGAGTTGGATATTGTCACCATTACTCCAAAGACTTTAAAGAACTTGGTTTCCATGCCTGTGTTTAACTCCCACTGAAGTCAAGGTGCCTCAACTATAGTGTGGTTCACGACAGCCAGGTCATGGCTTCTTCCCACACTTATATGGCTCAGCATCTCAGGGCAGCAAACCTGGGCATACCCATCTAGGAAGACAGGGGCAGGCACTTTTCCTGCCCTGTGCCCCAACTCCACATGCACTAGGCTAAATTTCTGAGCTGCCACAGCGGGTTGCAGCATAATTTGGCTGCCTTTGCCTGGACACAGGATGAGAAGATCCTGCATCATAGTGTGGAGAATATGCAACAGGGCAGGGCAGGTTTTTTGAGAGGCTGGGAGTTAAAAAAGCAAAATGCAGTCTGTGGTGCCCTCTAGGATAGTGTTTCTCAAGCTGTGGGTCACAACCCAAAAGTAGGTCACAAGAATATATGAAAGGGTCTAGAACAAACTTTAAAAATGGATTCTAGGAGAAAAATGTGGAAAATGGTGGCTGTTTCCTTGCAGGCTGGCAGAGGTCCAGCCTGCAAGGGGCTGCTTGTGGCCCCCTCATACCTCCCCCCACTCCACACACGGGATCTGGGGCCTGGGTATGGGGGACAGTGGGTCAGGAATGAGGGGCACTGGGTCTGGACTGGCCATTGATGTTTACAAATGGGGCCTGGTACAAAAAAGGTTGAGAAAAATTGCTCTAGTAAGCTAATGTAGTAGTCAGACCCAGCCATAACCTTTTCATCCATGCACAGAATTTGCATACAAGTTAAAAGTTGACTGGAGAAAAGATTTAAATTCCTCTGAAACTGACTGGGATTCCCATGCCTTTCTCAATCCTCCATGCAAATGCAAGTGGTCTGGTCCTGCTAGATTAGGAAAGGCTGATGAACCCAGTCAGCTAGCACCTGTGTGGATTAGCAAATTGCCTCCATGTCACTGCTCTCAGGGAACCTGGCAAGGTGAGAAGGAAACTAGGAAAGCAGCACAGCCAACCTGCAAAGCACTCAGAGACCCAAACTGTCATGAACTTTGGGTTAAAAGTCATGAGATGGGACAACACATGCTTCAGGGGCTCTTATTATTCACTGTCTGGCTTTGGACTGGTTCAGGGGATCCCCTTTTCCACATAGCCACCAGAGCTGGAAATGTACTCTTTTGTTGCTGAAGGATAGCTGTGATTGCTAGTCTTCCTAGGAATATAGCAGCTGTGGTTCAAAGAAACATACTGCAAGATCAATAATAAAATCACCACATCTGACAACTCTGCAAAAGGCTCTAGCCTGGCCTTCATATAGCCTGTGGCCAGGGGTCCAGCCAACTGTGCATGGAGAAGAAGGTATTTAAGAAACTGGCCCCAGGTGCCCTGGCCTGGTGGTGTGAAATTGGATGGCTTCCAAGAACAAGCAACTGCTTTGGACTATTTAGGCCACAACTCCTGCAGCTCAGAGAGCTGATCTTGCAACTGATGGGTGTCTTTGGAAACACAGCATTCACGTGCAGCAGAGAGCCAGGTCCATGCATTTGGATGCAGCCCCCTCGATTTCCGCTTGGCTCAGCATGACAGACAGGAGGGTTACCTTCTTGGGGGCATTTTCTGTAATGTGATTCTAGACGTTCCAGCGTGATAACGCCGGGTAAATGTTATCCCCTCTCTAAAGCTTACAGTGTAGCCCCCGGCTCCTGCAAACACACGCCATGCACATGTACAATTTCCAACACACCGTCTTGCCTTCATCCAATGCTAAGTTAGACTCTAAGGTGCTACCCTAACCTACCTTTTGCCTAAGCATTGCCAGTGGAGTCAAAAGGGACCATCCCAGCATGTGAAGTGATCCACACCACATGCCTGAGCCACTGGATCTAGGTCAGATGCTCCTGTTGGGGGAAGCAGCTGTTCCCACACCCCTGTTTAAAGAGTCTAGGATGAAAGCACCAGCAGCTTAAGTGACTTGCCTGGGTTCACATAGAGAGTCAGTGTCAGAGCTGGGGGTTGGAGTCTGTTTCCTAGCACCATCATCCAACTGGTAGAGCCACAACTGGCTCTCCAGCTGTTACTAAGCAGCCGTAGATTGTATCGATGACTTCCTTTCATGTGGCAGGATTTCTTCCTTGCATGACTCCAGCCATGTGCATGGCTGTTCTTAAGAAGTCACCGTTCTCCCATCACTCCCTGCTGGAACTTGCGGAGAAGGAGACGTGAAGAGAACAGGACAGATTCCAGCAGTCGGAAACACAGGCGCCTTCCCAGGCTTGGTTTGCTGGAGGCGGCTGCCTCTCAAAGAAACACAAGGAGTTTCTGCTGGGCCGGCAGCTCAAAAGAGCAGAGAGCTGGGCTTGCAGGGCTGTAGCACCCACCAGTGGAGCCAGATTTGCTGGAGGGACCTTAATAAGGGCCAGATTTTCTGAAATGCTCAGCTCTTATTGCAGCACTTACAAGCCAGTTTCCCAGCAAGCATGACAAGCTGTGTTGTGATGGCTCTGGCAAGTCCATTCTGGCAGCCAAAGGGCACCCAGGGCATAGATAAGCTATCAAGGCCAGGGACTGGCCATCATCTTTCAGGGGAGGAGAGAACAGAGTGCCCTTTTGGCCAAGTACAACTGTGCACCGGTTCGCTGCCTCCTGCCTGGAGAGTGCAAGGCCTAGGCCTGATGCCTTCCACTGTCTTGCCTCTGCACCGTCATTTACGGCTGGGTGCTGCCAGCGCAGTGGTAACCAGAGGTGCTGGGCTGAGGAGCAGCAGGGTCCTGTTCCCCAGACCTGACTCAGCCCAGGTGGAAGGAGACAGAGTTCCCTGTCTCAGCTTGTCTATGCTTAGTCAATCCTGGCCATCACCCTGTGACACCCCTGATGGATGCAGCAATCTGCCCCTGGGGCACCTCCCATGGGGTGGGGTGGGGGGGTACTGCATGCTCTGTGATCATTCCCACCTGAATGTCTGCTCCCATCTCGCTGATTTATCAGTTCATTCCAGCTGTGCCCCGGGGGGTTTGCCTTTGCCGTCTCTGGGGATAGGGAGTTGGAGGGGAGGAGGGGGAGATCAGCCCTTCTGTTTGTTAGGCACCTGCATGTATTCCTAACTTTAAGCACACAGAATGTCTCACTGGCATTCCCGAGACCAGCCACGACTGAGCTCACTGGCTTTAAAACCAGAAAGGGCTTTATTCTGACTTCCCACATAACACAGACCCCCGAATGCCTCCGAGTCACTCCTGCACTAACCCCAGCACAGACTTCTGCTGACTCCAACAGCAGCTGAATCAGTCTCACCAGTCCAGTCCTTTCCCACATAAAAGTGTATTAAAGCCACAGTAACAAGCTGGTTCGGAACTCATATACAACCCTACTTCATCACAGACAATGAGAAATCTTTCTACATGCTGGAACCTTATTCCCCCACTCCCACCTCCTCCCCGCCCCTTACTTCTTTGCCATAGCGACTTGGAAAAAAACGGGGTTTTGGACAGTCAGAAATTCTAAGTATTTTTATTAACATTTATATATAAAGTTTTGTCTACTAACAAAGCAGAAAGAAATTTAGAGCAAAGCCCTGAGGGCTCTTCTTTATTTTTTATTTTACAGCCAGGTTAAAAAAAAACCCCAAAAACCCCACCTTATTTTGTTCAACTTTATACAAATGAACCTTATGTACATTTTTGTTCCCCTATCTGCCCTTATTTATATGAGACGACATAAATAAGAACTCTGGGACTATACAACACATAAGAACACTTCTTAAAACTGCAGCTTTTTAAAAAAAAATAGTATTCTTATTTTAAAAAATGTTCAAGAGATTTTTTTTTCAGTTTTTGGAGGGGTGTTGGGTTATTGGTTCATTTAAAAATAGGCATTTTCTTTGCCATTAGCTTAAACGACCTGTGTGGAGGGCACTGTTAGAAAACCGACAACTGTAGCAGTCTTACTTTTGGTTTAAAATAACTTAAATCATTCCTGAAACACACTTTTAAATATTAAAATATATATATTTTTTGCATTTTAAATAACCACTCTATTTTCCCCAGAGTCCTAACAAAGGGTCAGAGTCTCAATGAACAGAAATCAGAACTGCTTCCTTGGAATTCAGTGGGAATTTACCGTGCTTGCAAATCCAACCAAGAAAGTCAAACTTCTGTTTTCTAACTCTGGTATAACCAAGGTCAGAATCTGGCCCTCTTTCAGTACCGGGATTTTGGTCCTGCAGCTTCTACCAGCTAATGATCAGACATGGGGAACTGTAATTCCTCACTATAGACCAGGAGTAATCTGGTGTGATCCTGAATTAACACTTGATTTAAGTTCGTAAAAACAAGCTCTGAATCTGATCTCTCCCCAGTACGAGAAATTTCATCCTTTTTAACCGTGCTCCCTTCAATAAGGTTATTTAACATTTATATACTATCCAGTTCTATACATTAGACATATCTAAGAATTGACTTTAGCTCTTTAGCATATATAGGGATTTTTTTTAAAGACTACAAAGTGTGGCACCTCTTATTACAAATTGTTTTCCCTCTTAGCTTAAACTGTGCTTTCATCTCCAGTTTGACCCTTGCGTGGGTGGATTGATGGGAAGGCATATATATTTTTCTATATATTTATATCTTTCTTTCTTTCTTTATCACATGGGTGAGTAGAAAACTCCTACCCCACTGTGGAAGAAGACGAGTGGTTGCGAAGTCCTGCCAGCTTGAGATGTTCCTCCAGAGTCCTCAAGGAGACACCCCACAAACAGCTCACTTGGGAAGGTAAAAAAAACAGTTGTGCTGTTCTTGGAAGCGAGGCGTTGTGCAGAGTGTGTCTTGGCCTCCTTCCAGATGAAAGGCAAATCTCTGGCAGAAAGAGCAGGAGGCAAGAAGAATCTTCCCATTCAGTGTCCTCTGCAAGGAGTGGGGTGGCAGTGGGTGGGAAGGTGTTGTGTGGGGGGGACTCATGTAGACATGGGGTGTGGCTAAAAAGGACTCCTCCATTCCTAATCTTTATCCCCTTCCCCAATCCCCTACCTCCCCTCCTCTCTCACTTTGCATTGGCCTGTCATTTTAACCCTTTGCAGTTCTGTTGGTCCTGAGATGGGGGGCGGAGAGGGGGGGTGTTTGTGTGTTGCTGTTGTCCTGGAAATGAACATGTTAAGAAACCCCCTCAAGTTTTCTGACTGTCACTGTCCTTGTTTCCTTTCTTGCTCCACTAGTCGGAGGAGGCAGGAGGTTAGTACACTGCCCCTGGATTGGGAGGCGGCCCCGGAGAAGTATGATGCATAGTGCTGGTGGGTGGAAGCTGATGTTGTAAGTGAGGTCCACTGAGGTTCTGTGGGTGGTACCAGGGGTTGTGCTCCTCCAGGTAGCTTGGGGAAGAGCTGTAGGGAAGCGGCTGGGGGAGCTGGCTTCTGCTGGAAGAGCCACTGTGAGAGTTATTGTCCCAGATGGCAGGAGAAGGCGGCGAATTGCATGCCATGGAGTCACTGTTGTTGGGACTGTGTTCCAAGGGGACCTCCCCATTCTTGTACAGCTTCTTGAACTTGGACCTCCGGTTCTGGAACCAGATTTTCACCTGGAAGAGGGGAGGAAGGAAGGGAAAGGTGACTCTTGCTGTCCCACTGCAACAGCAAAATGCAGAGGAAACCTGAGGACACGTGCAAGGACGGGGGAACAGAAATGCTACTATGTCAGCAGCTTTGCCTCTCCTCTTAGCTGGGCGGGGGAGGGCGTCAGGGAGGAGGCAGTTGTCACCAAAACAGGATGTTGCTTTGCGAGCAGATGACGAACTCCCTCAGACATTTATAAGTGTCCCTGTTGCTACAGTGTCACCTGGCTGGGAGGGCTGTGATTAAAATGGCTCCCCGGCAGGCTCACCAGGCCTTGATTTGGAGGACATCAGACAGACGCCATGGTGGGCGCCTACTCTAGTTCAGAGAGGCTCCCGGGCTCTGAGCAAAGGATTTTTGAATGTTTGAGGATGGTCATGCCATAAGACCTTTGCAGTACTCAGGACCCTTATCTCAGGGGCGCTCACCTTAAACAGGTGTGGCTCTTTTATGTATGGCATACAACCCCTCCAAAAAAAGCATAGAGCCTCTAAATCCCCCTCATACTAAACGCACACTGGTATTGCCATATTTTCCCATGTGTAAGAACTGTCCTCCCCACCCACCCTGAAAAAGGAGGTCCAAAAAGCAGACCAAAATTCAGACTAATTTATGTTAAACACTTCTCCCCCACCAACAGCACCACCATGTTATCCTTTTATATTTCTGAGAGGTATATGCATGTCTTGTACACTGGAAAATATGGTAAATTAGACTGCAAACTAAGGCTACTGTTTTTAACCCCCAACCTCCCCGATCCCAAAAAGAACAATTTTTTTAAGGGCTTGAGACCCCATTGTGGCTCAGGGAAGGGGCTTCATGTGTCCCTCACTAAATCTTGTGATGAGGCTCCTTTTTGGAAGAGCCTAAATGTTGTTCAGAAAGTAGAATCCCTAATGATACTGAGACTACAAAGGAACAGAAAAATCTTTCCCCTCCAAACCCCTGCATCCCACTCCTGCCATGCTCAGGACTCTTCATGGACCCTGTCCCCGTGGCAGCTAATGTATAGCAACCACCACAAACTAGAGCTAAACACATTCAACTGAAGCCATCCTGCTGTCCTGCTGCACAGAGCGGCTGCTTCAGAATGGGCAGCTCATGGAAACATGCTGACCTGAGACTCCATTTTGATCTAGGCCATGAAACTGCAGCCTGTGGAAGGCCTGCAGGACCGGTCCCAGCTTGCCTCATGCATTCGAACGCCTCCGCTGTCCCCAGTGGACACCCAGCCCACAGTAGGGCGGGAGAACTGGGTCTTTCATTTGACCGCCACTTGTGACAGCAATGCCTCCCCACCTGGGAGGGCTCCAGGTGTGGAGAGAGGCATGAAAGGGTTACACCCATCTCAGCTCTCCAGGGAGAGGTGGGGAGCAGTAGCTTGGACTCCTTCCTAGTCATTAGCTTCCCTAGAGCAGACTCATACACACCTAGATACTGCGGCGTTCAGATCAAAATAAGTCTCCATTCCTCTACTCCCCCAAACAGAGCAGGCTCTGTGGGGGATAGCCCTTTGTGGAGAGGGTTAGAAAAAAGTCACTTTTCTCTTTGCATGTGGCCAAGTGATTCTTACTTAGGAAATGCTCGTCCTTTCCAACAAATAAAGGACTACGTAAAGGTTGGAGCCTGACAGCAAGCAAAACCTGGGTCTAGGGAAAGGAACGCTGGGGTCTGAGCTTGGAGGTCTAGATGAGGTGACTTGGATTGTCCGAACAGGAAACCCACCAGCCCATGTGCTCTTAGCATCGGTTGATGCTGTTTCTCCCTCGTCTACTTCTCTGGTCTGAATTAGCCGTTGGATTCCTAAGAGGCGACTAAACTCATCCCAGAAAGCTCCAGAGAGGAACGGAAGGGGAGGGAGGGAGGGTTCCTGCTGCTTTTCTAGGTCAAGCGAAGGGTTTAGCGCGCCACAGCCTAACTGGCTTTGCAGGTTTGCAGCCGTGCTGGGATGCCAACGGGGAGAGCCACGGAGGGGAGGACATTTGCAGGGAGGCTGGGGCACAGGGCACAGGAGCAGAGTGCTCCAGGCATCTCACTGCAGTGTTTAGACTGTGCTCCAGACTTGCACCAAAGACCACTCACAACTGCCCCAGCTGGGAATGGACACCTGGGCATTTGGACCAGGGATCCAAGGCCGGTACAAGTGATACTGGCTGCATCACCCTCTGGGGATAGAAACCAGTGGCCCTGACCCACGCCAGCCCCATGGGCCAGTGTGGCTTGGGCAGACGGGTGACCTTGAGGACCTATAAGCCAGTTTCAGGGGGCTTAGGATCCTCCCCGAAACATTCAGAATGGGTTCACTTTGTGGCAAGGAGGCAGAGATCCCTCCCAAGACTGGGGAGGCAGGGGGGATCCATTTTAATCTCACTGGGCCACATGGTGGAGCTGGAGCTAGTCTGGAGCAGCTCTGAAGTCAGCGCAACTAGGCTGGTGCCAGGGAGGAGGAACGGGCCCCTCTGGGGGGAGGGAATTCCTCTTCCCCCAGATGAACCCAAGAAGCCCATCCAAGCGCCTGAGGAAAACCTACAGTTTTGTTCCCACCATCCCAGACAGCTGGCTCCTCGGTGCTGGGTCCCTGTCTGATTGTGTAAGCGCCATCGCTTTCATCTCAGCCCACTAAACCCAGGGGCTGTGCGGCACTGGCAACAAGTGCTCTGTCTCTTCCCTCCTCCTCCTGCTTCCTTCCCCGCCTCCCGGCACATGAAGGGGAAGGTAAATGGAATTGTTTGTTCTTTGTGAAGTTACCTGGGTTTGAGTCAGCCCCAGCTGAGCAGCCAGCTCTGCCCTCTCTGGCAGGGCCAGATACTGGGCTTTCTGGAACCGCCTCTGCAGCGCGGCCAGCTGGTAGCTGGAGTAGATGGTTCTGGGCTTTCGGATCTTTTTGGGTTTCCCGTTGACCATCCTCACCTCCGGCTCTGGTTCTTCCTTCACGGAGACTGGAGAGGAAAAGGAGAGAGGTCAGGTCCTGTTGGGAGCAGGGGGCTTTGGGCTATTTCTCCTGCCATATCTGGGTGTGGAGGGGAAAACCCAAACTGAAAAAATTGCCCAGAGAAGTGTTCAAGCCACAAGCTATCAAAAGTCCTGATTGTCGCTGGGTGGGGGGGCAGTAGACTGATGGGAGCCTGGGCGAGGCTCTTTGCGGGGAGAGGGCTCTGGACAGACTTCCTGGGTTAAAGGATCACAGCCACACAGGGAGGGCTTAGAAGTGGGGGATTCTCTCTCTGATGTTTTCTGCCTTTAGTCTCCCTGAAGGGGCTTCTCCTCCTGTGGCATTTCTCTCCCCCCCTCTTCCTCTGGCACATACTGCTTTCCCTGCCTGGCTCTCCCTTGCGGGGCTTTTTGTTTGTGTCTCTTTCTCTCCGCCGCTGGCTTGCTCTGTCTTTCCTCCTCTCTCTCCCACGTCTCTGGATGGTAACCACTTCCCTTAGCTCTCCAGTCCCTGCTCTTGTCCCAGCCTGCCGGCTCCCCTGCGGGAGCAATGCACCAGCTGGTTCTGATCTGCTCCAAACCAACTGGTTCTTGCATCTGGCTCCTCTCTTCCCCTCCCAGCCAGTACAAAAGGCTGTGACCAGCCCGACTCTCAGGCACCGGCAGGTCCCAACTGCCTGCTGCCTTCCCAGAATGGGGAATTAGCCAATAAGAGGAAATTAAAAAAAAGATTCAATCCCCCTTCCCATTCCTTTCTTTGGTATTTGTGGGCTCAGGTCTGAGGCTTCCCTGCTCTCCCTGTCCCCCAGCATTTCAGACCTGATTTAAAAGTTTGATTAGTTCCAAAATAAACCATTTTTTCACCCACCTCCACCTCCACCTCCCTACCTCCAAGCTGCCAGCTAACAACTGCCTTCTTATTCATTCCTAACATGGGATAGTCTGACTGTCCCATCAGTCTGGGCTGGACGGACAAAATCCATTCCCCACCCTGCCCCCAAAATATCATTCCCAGTTTCCACCTATTTCACTAGTGGTTTGATCTGAAGGATGTTATGATTTCTAGGATCAGGAGCAACTAGCTCCCAGTGACACGGGGGAAAAAGAAAATGGGAGGAATTTTCTCCTGAACAAAAGGCGAAGCGTGTGCATGGGGGGAGAGGGGCTGGGGGAGGTGGAAAAGAAAAACTCTTCCTCACTTGGAGCAGGAGAAGTTTGCATCTCTACCGAGATCCAGAATCTTGGATACCCAGCAAACCCCAGTACTGCCTGCCTACCCCTCGATCTCTGGCCCCACGTCTGCTGGCACCCAAGATTCAACTTCGTGTCTCGGCAAAAGGGTGACACTGCCAAGATCTCTGCTGTCCTCCCAACACCCTTAAGGCTGTGGGGGGAGGCTGACACTGTCTTCTAAGAGCCCCCCACCCACACACAGGCTCCCCACCTCCCCTGGGCTCTGTACCTGTTTCCTGGGCTGGCAGCTGCTGCTCCCTGAAGTGCCCATACTGCCTGTACGAGGTGCTGTAGGAGTACTCGGATTTGGGGGAGTAAGTCCCGGCCCCTCCAAGTCCATTGAGGTTGAACTGGTGGTGATAGGAGTAGTGGTTCATCGGCTGGCTGTACGGCTGGCTGGGGTAATAGTCGTGCTGGCTGTGCGCGGTGCTGTAGTAGCCCAGATCGGTGACGGAGGACTCAGGCAAGGTGGGGGAGTCCTTAGAGGCCGCATGGCAGCTGAGGGAGCTGGAGATATCGGTCAAGATGCTGGTGATCTTCTTGTCAAAGGATCCACTCATGGTGCCCCCCCGCCCCCCACGACTGCCGTGGGGGTGAGTAGAGCACAGGGGCTGCTGGGGTACGTGTATGCGTATGTCTCCCTAGAGGGTTACGGGAGCTTCCTCCCTCTGCCTCCTCCTCCTCCTGTGTGAGAACAGGACTAGTTCCACAGGCTGCTGCAAAGCAAGTGTGCAGGGCACTCCAGCCCAGGCAGCCTGCTTAAAACCTTTAATTATGGCGAGGCTGGGGTGGATGCTGCATTCTGATTGGCTCCAGAAATATTGCCTGGGAGGCAAAACAGACTTTTTTTTCTTTTCCTTTTTTTGAAACAACAAAGAGTGGGTGAAAAAAAAAGAAACTCCAGTCCCAGCCTGTCAGCTCTTGGGCTCCACAGTGGGGCACACAGGGGTGGGGGTGGGTCTGTCTGTCACTGGGGGGTTGTCTCCAGGGGGTGGGGGTGCCCCAATGGGGGTTGCTGGCTGTAGGGTGTCTGTGTAGGTTATTTCAGAGGGGCTGAGTTGATTCCTGTGCGTAGGTCTGGAGGGCGCCTGTGCTTCTATACACTGGCGGGTTCTATAGGGTTAGGGAGGGGGAGGTCTTTGGGTGTCTATAGGGCTATGTGTAGGTTTGGGGATGTCTGTAGGCAGAGGGATAGGTCTGTGGGGGTCTGTCATGGTATGTGGAAGGTGTGGTTGATGTCTATAGGAGTAGAAAAATGTCTATTGGATGGGGTGTATCTGCAGGGACATGTATAGGTCGTTGGGTGTCTATAGGAGTAGGTTTGTGGGGTGATGTGTCCAAAGAGCTAGTAATGTAGGTGTGGGGGTTGTCCATAGCTTTTAGGGGCAACAAGGAGCCAATAGGAGTAACTAACAAACTCCCCTTGTCTCATGGCTCCTGGCATGGCAAGGTCTTGTTGCTCCATCCCCCAGCTCCTCAGAGCCTCAGTGTGGGGTGCAAGCCCCTTGCAGATTATGCCACCCAGCTCTGCCTTACCTTGTGTGCAGACCCTGCCGGCCCTGCAGGTTTCTTCCAGGGCTCAGCCCCTGGGTACTGAGCGAGAGTTGCCTTTCCCCTGTCCCACTATCCACAAAGGACTCGACCCAGTGCCCAAGTAGTACCAGCTAGGGAGTGAATAGGCTTCCAGCAGGCTAGTGCTGGATAGACCATCCTGATGGTGGGATCCCCATCTGGCCTGTCCCAGGTCCTCTCTTACACAAATATACCCTGGCCTCATCTTCCTAGAGGGGGTTGCAGTGAGTGGCTTTCCTGGTCCTTCTGATCCACCTGCATCTCCCAGCCTGAATGGGGCAAGGGAGGGGACCGGTTAGGGAATGTTGCCTTTGGCTCATTTTAGTTCCTTTCCCCCTCCTCCCTTCTCTTCTTCATAGCAATCTTCTCTGCTCCAGTTCATCCTGCCCCGACCCCTGGCCTGGGGCAAGCCAAGGAGAGGACAGCATGTTTTCTTAGTCTTTCATGATGTTCTTCTACCCTCAAATTAAGATAGTCACCTCCCCTGTTCTTCCACCCCCCAGTTCTCCCAGACCAAGGGCATGGAGTCACTGGGATCAGACTAGGCTACAAGCAGGCTGGGATGCAAAGTGCGCTTCCGCCACCTGCCGGGCAGTCCATAGGGCTGCAGGCCCTGTGTTCGCCCTCAGTTGAGCTGTCCCTGGCAAGAGTATTTCTGGGACTGAAAACCTACCTACCTGCATCTTGCCTGGGTTTTTTCAAATCAAAAGGGGAAACACAGGTCCCAGCTGAGGGAAGCAACCAGAAAACAGCTAGGGAAGATGTTGCCTGATCCTCTCAGTCACTCCCCTTGTGGGTATCAAATAAATAAGAGCTTCCAATGAGCATGAAATATGGCTTTGACATATTTCATTGATCGAAGACAAAGTTAACAGGCAGCTTGATCCCAGTTGACAAGACTTTCTTTGGGGAAAGTGCTTCTGACAGCAGGGGCTCTCACAAAGAAACTCAATAGAGCATGGGCCAGTGGCTGAAGCATGACTAATTCAGACTGGAAATGGGGGGCAAGCTTATACCCCTTGGACCAGCTGACCTGCTTAATGTGGTGGATTCCCTATTATTTGAGCTCTTTGAATCAAGGCAAGATATCCTTCTGAACACTGTGCTCTAGACCAGTTTGTAAATGGGGCATGGGGGTTAACTGCTGGAGTTTGGGGTTTAATGCTGGATTTATTTATTAGTCTGTGTCACACAGGACATCGTATTAGAGGATTCAAAAGGTCTATTCCCACTTTTCAAATCTGTGCATTTCTTATTTGTTCTTTCTGGGATCAGAGCCCCCTTTTCATGCTTTGCACACTAGTATCACCAGGGCATCATGTGCTGGGTGGCAGCTCTCTGCTGAGTTTATTGTACATGTCAGGGATTCTTTGCCCTCCTCCATTCCACCAGACATGCTCCCTGTGGGATGATGAGGAGGGGTGCTGTTGCACTGGAAGGCATTCATGTAAGTTATTAATCACTTGATAGATCTGTAGGCAAGTGAGGAGGTGCTGGCAGCTGTGTCTGTTCCTTTTGCATTGTTCTAATTTTCTCCACAATCAGTAGGTTTCTGGCTATGGATGCCTTAAAAATGCCCCAACATTTTGCAGCTGATTGTATACAACCTTCATATGTTTTAGATAACAGATGGGGCCCAGAAATATCAGCCAGGAGAGTGCAAGGCTTTCACAATAGCAGCCAGTGTGTGTTGCAGTGGTGCCTAGGATCTGTCCTGGACCAGGTCTGGATGGTGCTAGGTATTGCACGCAGCTGGAGCACAAAGATGGTCCCTGTCCTAAAGAGCACATGATGTACCTGTATGTACCTCTGCAATGTAGCAATTCCCAGCTATCCCTGAATGAGCAGAAGCAGTCTAGGCATGGTAGCCTAGAGCTCTGCGCGCTCTAATCCACCCTGCTTCTCGGTGTACAGTGTAGACACAGCCTGAGAGTCAGGAGGCACCAGGGAGATCCAGACAGAGAGGGGAGTGCCAGGAAGCAACATGTCTGGCGGGGCAGCAGGGCTGGCTGGTCTCACCTTAGCAGCAGCTCAAACACTGCCAGGATTTTTTCAATCATGTATTTCAGTTTTTTCAGTCATGTGTTAAGGAAGGATTTGGAAGAGAACAATGACATGGTCTATGCCAGTGGCTTTGGGGAGCTTGCCCTGGTGCCCCTGTCTTTTATTTGTGGGGACACTCATACTACTCCCCAGCTTTTCTGCTTGTTAGCAGGAGAGGCAAGGACAGTGGTGCTGTGGAGAGGACCTATTCTCTCCAGAGTGCCCCATGGCAGACATCACTAAATCTGCCTTGGGCAATGCAGGAAAGGGAGCTGCACTTTCAGATCTCTCCCATCAGGGGCAGCTCCTCAGGTGAGGACCAGGCCTAGTCGGTATGGGAATCGGGGGAGCAAGAAATCATCCACAAATTCATGTTACGTATGGTTTAAACAGGGACTATGGATTCTTCTCACATTACCTGGATTCAGTTTTGTGACCCACTTTGTTCCTATGGGTTTACTGCTCATTTGCTTTTCAATCCTGGCACTGCCCCCTCCCCCTTTTTCTCTCCCTCCTTTGTCTTTTGTATTCTGATTTATCTCTCTTTCTTATATTTTGCTTTCTGCAGCATTTGATTAAATGAATTTGGGTTCATAGTAGCTTCTGCTGTCTATATATATCTTATTCAGTTACGTGCAAATCTGCCCTCCCTTCTGACTGACTTTAGACTAAACACGGCTCTCTCTCAGTACAGGTATGCTGCAGGTTAGACACGAATGCCTTCCCACAATCAATTTTATCTCTGTGAAGCAAGTGCATTGCAACATGTCCACCTTCAGAAACAGAGCCCTCTCGGCAGGCTGGGGGCCTGTGAACCAAAGTGAGGGCCATTTCTAAGAACTTCCTGCAGCTCTAGAGGGACTGATCTTGCTGATAACACCCATGTACTCTGGCAACGGGCTTTGAAGGAAACCTGGGGAGAGGGAGAAAGGAGTTATGACAGATACCTTCAATGCCAGAACACCTTGGAGGAGGTTTGGACTGCATGGGCTGCAGGGATGTGCAGCTACGTGATGGACAATCATTTAATTTCCAGCACAATGCATCTCTTAAATGGGAAGATTTTCAAGGGCCCACGTGAGAACAGGTGCCATTATTATTACCAACATAATCCTTATTATTCAAGTAGCACTTAGATACTTTGATGGAGATCCAGGGCACTGATAGCATGCAGGGAAGTCAGTGTACAGCAAGCTGGAGTGTGGATTTGCAAGGCACTGACTACTGCATGCTAACTCCTTCTATAGAGGTTCTTCGTGCCCCGTGCATAGAAGGCTTTGTAAGAATACCACACCACTTTGTACTTGCCCTGTTGTTCCCTATATTGGATATACCTAGGGGCTGGCATTCTCTGCCCTGCCGGACATTCATTGACAAGAAGAGACCATCATCATCGTTCAGTCAGAGCTGTATGAAACAAACATTTGACTAAAGGTGATCTTTAGTTCAGCAGAGAAATGCAAAAAGAGAACCATTTGGCTGAAGATGCAAACTATGAGCAATGTGCATGGCAGAGAAGTGGGACCCACTCCCAAGGGATGTGGCGTGGCACCTTCTCCTGCTCTTGGTTATTCATGTCTAGACTAGACATCTTCCCAGGAGATGCTCAAGCCAAACACACATCCTTGGCTTCTGTCCAGGAGGGTTGGTTACAGCTAATGGCCTGTGTGGGGCAGGAGGCTAGGCTGGAAGAGCTAATGGTGCCTTGTATGGGAGCTCTGTGAATGCACAAGAACTAAGGCTAGGTCAGGCACAAGGGCCAGAAGGTGCTTGCCCCTAGCTGTCCTTCAGCTCAGAGTGTGCTCCCCACTAGCCACAGACCTGTTCAGTGTTCCTGCCCACTCACCCCAGCCCTGAAGTTTCCTCCTGAGATGTTGCCTTTTCTTACCCTCATGATTGCCTTTGCTTACCCTCATGAAACCCAGACACCACTGCCCTTGGCACCCAACTGCCGACAGTCTCCAGGACAGGAAGACCCCTTGCCCTGATGCTGAACCAAACCACGGACCTCAGCCCTGAAACAAAGCTCTGGATCCTTCAAGGGCACCTTGAAGAGCAGGTAGAAGCTCTGCCTGGATGTTGCAAGGAATCCTCCATGTGCAAGGGGACTGGA